TGCTGATGTAAGCTGTAAATGTGTGCTTTGAAAGCAGGGGCTTAATGCTAAAACCTGGCAGGCCAACTTAATATTAAGCTGGAATTGCACTTTGTATTTGCTGTTTGAACCCTGAATCCATTAGACGGTTCTTCTGATGGCTATGTTTTTGAAAGATAGAGCAGACCTTGAGCTAAGAGCTAACGTGTTCTTCCACTTGGAGCCTCATTTTTTGACACTTACTTTTATTCCTGGCACGTATGGATCTTTAAATTGCTCTGAGAGCCTTGTTGGCTTTGGCCCTTTCAGAAAATGAGCTCACATTTAGGCTGCACTGTCAAGGCCAGTCAGGTTGCAGAAATTAAGACAAACTGGGGAGGTTGCTGGAGACGGGGGAGGCTGGGGTTGACTGAGAGTGTCCTCCCCACCCCCCTCCTCTTGTTGTCCTCTTTTCAAAAGAAGGGAAAGTGTCAGGTTAGAACTGTAGGACATGTGCATGAAAAAATCTCTGAGAACTGCACATTAGTAGCTTGACGTCCATTGAGTGTAGAAGAACTTGGGGCTGAAAAGACAAAGGGGGAGACACTTTATCCATTCCCCAGTGAAAGCTTTTGTACTGGGACAAAATGCTAAAGGTTAAATTTCTTCTGTAAATCTTCTCTTCAGTTCCAGGGTCCCTGGAATAAAAGACCCTTCTCTTTTATACCTTGATAAAATATTACCCCAGTATAATCTCAGGTAGCTTGAATTCATCTTTGTAGTCTGGACTGCACTTTAAACCAAATGAGCTCATCGCCTCGACCCAGACTTCCATGGGATCTTCAGAAACCCAGCTTCCAAGCAGTGAGTCAAAGCACAAAAAACTGCAAATGTATTTATCTTTATTAAAACTAGTCGAGGACTGTAGGAATGCTAACATCTGAGTGGCAGTAAAATGAAATTCTTTTTGAGTTTCTTTCACATTACATAGTCTTTTTTTTTTTTACCCTTTTTATTACACAAATGATGAATGCAGCTTTAAAGATTGTTGTGTAAAACTAGAAAAATTACAATTCAGATCAGGAAATTACAGATCATAGAATAAGTCATAAAGTTTACATATTCTTTGACCTGAGATTTTCCAGCATATTAACTTCAGGCTCAACAAGCAGCGCTGTCGGCGCAGAGCGAGGAAACAAAAACGAGGCTGCCGGGCAACCACACACGTACTCATTCCTACGGACACTTTAGTCACCAGTCAACCTAAGCTGCATGTTTTTGGACTGTGGGAGGAAGCTGGAGCACCCGGAGAGAACCCACACAGGCACAGGGAAAACATGCAAACTCTACACAGAAAGGCCTTGGGTTGGCCGGGGCTCAAATCCAAGACGTTCTTGCTGTGAGGTCAGGTCCATCGCCAGGTCCATCGCATACAAAATGGACGATATGGAGCTACTGTTTGCTGCCAACAACTCTGTATGAGACAATAATAATGCTGTGTGACAATAATAATGGAGCCCTGGTTACATCCAGCGATCCCTGTTGCTGGAGGCCCATGTGGTCTCGCTATGTCCACAGGGATGTTGTGAGCGCTTTGGAAGTCTGTTGTGACAACGATGTTGGATTATAATCCATAATTTGTTAACTCCTGCCAGTTGTAGATCTGCTTTGCTTGACAAAGCTCAGCAAACACAAACACACGTATCAGAATGTACGAAAAACACCATACTGGAGAGCCAACTTGTGCACCGCCATCTTTACTAAATTTATTTGTTGTTATTTGTGTTATTATTTTCATTTCAAATATGACCTGCAGATGAACGTGACAGAGCTGCCCTTCTTTTATACATATGCAGCCACAGTCAGGTGTGTCTTTGGTCCACAGTTGTACATGTCTTACAGAAAAATGTTGGAAAATATGACCTGATAAAACTGAACTTACACATTTTAAATCTTAATTCAGGAAGATAGGAGCATTACAGGGCCAACTCTCCACCAGCCAAAGAAAACAATGAAAAATGTGGAGCACCATCGTATTATGAACCTGTTTTTCTTCTGTGAGAACCCTGTCTTTGAAATATCTGCAAAAAGTTCAAATTAAAGAAGAACTTTATCTCTGGAGAAGACAGCAGTAAACTGTACAGAGCCAAATTATCTTAGGAATGAAGTGGTAGATCATAGCAGATCATTCTGTAATGTGATTGAACCTGATTGCCCTTTAAAATAAAGTGGGACCTTTCCAAGCATCTTACTATAATATTTTATTGTTGAGGTTTATACTAATTGTTTTGCAGTTAACTTCAAAGATCTTCAGAGATCTTTCATGGTTTCTAGAAGAGGAACCCCTCCCACTGTGGACTCTCCATGAGGTTTTCACTTGCAGTGCTCTCAGACCAAAAATCAAGTTTCCTCACAAAATATTTTATAATATGATCATCAGATTGCCACCAAACACGTGGGGCACATTCACATTCCCAAGAAAAGGTCATTAACTTTGCATGTGGCTCTAAGCAAAGCTCAGTTCTTGGTAGGTTGTTTTCTTTATCCAACACTTTCCTTGTGTTTGATGCAATGGTTGCTAAATGCTCTAGGGCTGCCATGTGCAGAAATATTGTTACAAAAGAATAGGATTTTTTAAAATAAGGATTTATGTAATGGACTATTTATTGTGTTGACCATATCTAAAAATAATGCCAAGGTCCTGTGTGCATAAAATATTTTGTAAATCATAGTGAACATTTCCTGGGACAAGAATAGAATAGCTGCTGAATTTTTTTTTCAATCTGCTGATGCTTTTAAAAGACTCATCATGAAAATCTGTGCATTGTAAATATACAAATCAACTACAGCTACAGCTATAGATATGTTTGTACACTGTATAACAGGCCATCCAGTTGGTTGCAGCCATTCCAGCACTGCAGTGGAACAACTTAGTGGACCACAGTTCCACTGAATGTGATGGAAATACGTTGTTGTCAACAGTTGTCTACAGCCGCTGCTCTCTGTTGTGTCCCCTCTGCAGTGCACTGAGTCAGACTTCGACTTTGGCACCGAGTGTCTCCATCTGGCTCTGCAGTACTGTGGCGTCAGTGCCAAGCTCATCGAGGGTCCGCCAACACTGTGGAAGGTGAGCTTGCCAGGAGCCTGGTTTGGGCTGGGGACTGGGGATCTGGTAACACTCGGCCTTTCATAGCTGTATGCCCACTACAGATTTATCATATGGGCACAAGAAAAGTTCATGTAATGAAACTGAGGAGGGTAAAAGAGGAAGCACTATCATACTGTATTAAATATGGCATCTTGGATTAGTGTGTGGAAGTTAGTTTAAATATAAATGCTTGTTCTGAACCCTCTATAACTTAGGCTTTAAGGGAATCATTCCAAATTATAAAAGACATTTTTATAATTAGTATCCATGAAGATAGTTTTGATTTTATATATTAAGGTTTTGAGATTTCAGTCTCCTTCGCAGTACAATGGACATGGAAAGCTTCCAGGCTCCGCAGAGTTCAGGAACTAATTCAAGAACTAAATGTGTGTTCCTGTAAATGTGAAGAAACAATAACATTCTGGCATCTGGAAGGCAACTCTCACATGTGAGAATACAAGATGTGTTGTTCATGGGAGAAGAATAGGCACATGGACAAGAGCTGTGGCCAGAGCTAAATTTGGACCCTGGTTCCTGAAATGGTTCCTGGTCCCCTCAAATTGCAGTGGAAATAGGCTGATTGTCTCTTGAAGAGGCAAAACTACACAGTGCTACTCAAGGAAATACAAAATAATTGAGAAAAGACCAAAGAATAAATATAGTTCATTTTTAATTGGTCATGTTGTGACCTCTCGGTTGGGCAGCATTAATCCAGAGTAACTGGGACAGTGTTTCTTGTAGTGTTTAATGCTGTCGAGATTTTAAAGTGTCATTTTTCAATGCTTTTAGGAGAACATTGTATTGGGATGATGGATTAGCCATCTGTCTAAACATTTTTGGAATACATAGCTGGCATAGACACCTTTATGGATAAAAATGAATTTTTTATGTAAATTTTATCAACGGACCATTTAAACCCAGTTTAATTTGCCATTCAGGTAACATACAAACGAGATTTGGCTGCTGCAGAGTCCATCATCAAAGGTGGGTTGTCATTTTTATCAATATTCTACTACATCATTTCCTGTATGTGTTGTGCATAATGGATTTTTTTCATCTTTTAACATAATCGCACAAACTGTATGTATAGAGAAGTATACCTGTAAGGCTGAACGCAACAGTTCTTCTCAGGTTAAATGGTCAGCAGTGAGCAGCGGACGAATGTTTTGTCTCTTTTTGTCCTGCAGTTTAGTGTTAGACCTGACTAGGTGACATTGCACCAGAGTAGTCCATCACAGTAGTTGGAGGGAGAAATTCTTTGTTGAGCTGTTCGACTGGGTTAGAACAGAGCAGCTGTCAGCAGAATGTGAATACTACAGAGAGCAAGTCAGGACAAGTGAGACTATCACAATCAGAGAAATGGAAATAACCAGAGCCCTATATTTCACACTGCCTGCGCCAACAGTCGTGTGATTGATAATGATATAAGGTGCACAGTGATTATTCCCAGATCCTCTGATATGAATTAATTTGTGCGCTTTTTAAAGATGTGGAGGAAAGTTCTGTCAGTATGAGGAAGTGTCGCGTGTTTCTGCTTCTGTGCTCACATTCATGCACACATGCTTCTGTGTGAGTCCTGTTGAGAAGTGTTTGCATGATAAGTCGATATTTGAAGTGATTTCTCAACAGATGCCTTTGAAGTGACGGCTTTCAAGGAATGGAGGTCTGTTTTCACTGGGGTGGCTGTGCTGAGCTCAGGCTTTCAGCCAGAGCAGCCCAGCAACATAAACTGTTCTGGCACCTCAACCTGCCTTGTCATTTTAAAATTAAGGACAGGATCAGCCCTGTTAGCAGACTGCTAATTTTTTGGATTTGAATTGCTCTCTCAGTATTTAGCCAAACTACAAAATCAGAAATGAAATGTCACTCTGTATTGCTTTGATATTTAAAAAGTCAGTGAGGATGCTGTGTGTTCGTTATTCATAAACACCAAGACTGAGTGAGCATCCATCAGTAATGTTAGCTGACTGCATGCCACGTTTCAGCCCTTTTCACTTTAGCAGTCAAGCACTTGCTAACAGCTAAAGCTAGCAGATAGTAAACCATATTTAAAATACTTAATGATTCTTCCATCACATTAATATTTTAATTACTCTAACTGTAAATTTCTAAACTTGCTTTAATGGCATTGTGGCCGTGAGGCTGCAGGGTGCAACTCTGATATACGGCAAAACACTAATGATATAGAACAGTTTAGAAGTTACAATACACCATGAACCTTTTTAAGTGACTGCTTTTCTTGCCTGGTTGTTATTTTTTCAGTTCTTATTAATGCACACCTTCTCCAGTAGACATCCGTTGATGGCACCAGACTAGCTGCTAGAATATTTGTGTTTATGCAGATGTGGATAAGCAGTTATCACAGGATTTTCTAACCCATCACGTGTCATTCTCTTTCAGAGACTCTGTCCCGGTCAGCCTGTGTTGTCACAGGTGCATCAGCACAAGCTGTGACCCTGGCTGGCACCCTCCAGAAGGCTGCTCGAACTTGGGACATGGTAAGAGCTGATTAAAATGTTGGTTATGTTGATGACAGCACTACTGAAAATCCCCAGGTGTTAACAGTTTTTATCCCTTCCTGGGCCTCAAATCCCTCCATAAACTATATGTGAGCTCCACTTGGGTGGCCCAGTGGGGAGACTTGCCATCTGCAGTCAGACCTCTAAAGGAGCCTGTCTGGGACATCAACACTGCAACTTTTCCTCCTCCTCATTCTCCCCCTTCATCGCCAGCCTCCACCTCTCACTCCCCTGCATGCAGGAGAGCAGACAGCAGTCATATTTCCTGTTTGGTTGGAGTTTGGTTGATTAATTGAGTGTTTAATGTCGAGTTCTAACCCTTCAGCTCAGTCAGACTTGACAAGTTCCCATTTTCCACCACAGTTCATGTCCCTCCTTTTCACTTCCTTTTCAACAACCTCCATTTACTGTCACTTGTAAAGCTGTTCTTATTAGGCAATGGGAAACAGTATCTGTATGCAAATCAGTAAAGCATGAGAGTCTGAGATATTAAATTTTTTATTTTTAAAAAAATTTAAACAAAGTAACACATTAACAAAACAGTACCGAACATGGGAGACAAGACAACAGTTACATGACGTTACAAAAGAATATAGAATGTTTATCAAGGTTGTAATGTGTGAAGTGTGGGTATTTCCAACTTATGCAGTCTATGAAATGCAAGAAAGGGAAAAGGAGGGGA